TTTTTTTTTATTGAATTTTTTCATATTTTTCATGTCGGGACCTTTTACAGCCATCTATACGGTATTGGTTTTTGTCATTATTGACGGCCGTACTGTTGCCTATGATTGCATACATCCACTTCGTTTGAACGTTTATGGATAGTGGTTTATTGGCAATCATATCACATCTATCGTTGTCAGCTGCATTGCAATTTATGATACATATGATATATGAATGAAGGATGTTCGCTCCACTGGTTTTAAGTAACAAACTGTTTGAAAGACTTTTATAAACTGATAGTATGCAAAAAATAGAAATAAAAAAGCAGAAAAAAATGTCCTTCTTTTTGAGAAATAAGCCATTGAAAATTTGGCGGGAAATGATTCCTATTAGACATTTTTTTTATACATTTCACATTGGAACTATTTTTCTCTCAAATACTATGAAAGAATAAAAATAATATTAAACTATTTTGAAATATTGCTTTTAAAACTTTATGTGATAAAACTATGAAAAGAAAAGGAGGGGTTAGCGGGCAAAATTTATTTGGGCACTACATGGATCAAACTAAAGAATTCCGAATATCTAATAAAAGTCAAAAGCAAGAGTAGCGAACATCCTTAAAGAAGGTAATGATTATTCTAGACGTTCACATGGCAACTTGATAACATCTACAGTGTCAATCGCTGGAGTAAAAATGATGGATGATATAGTATATGAAATGTATGTATATCTAACATGGAACTGCTATGTAATAATATATTTTTAAGTATTTGTTGTAAAGACTTGTTTGATATTTCATTCAAGTTAAAATATCAATTACATAAACAATAACAAAATGTATGCACCAAATGCACATTTCGACACGCAATGTCTCTTTAGTGAGGCTTGAGTCCAATAAATACTAAACATTTGACTTGGTTTTCAATAGGTAGAGAAGCTAACCAAGTTTTTTTTCACATGCAGAGAAATTCAAATATTTAATTCAAGTTTTTCTTTAATTTTTAAAGTCCGTAAAGTTTTCTGTTACAGGTTGGCAGTTCTATAGAATTTGTACTAAGATTGCATTAATAACTGATTTATTAAAGTATACATATGCAAAAAAGAAGGTTTCCATTTGCTTATACAAAGATAATCTCAAATTATGAAATGATATTCTACCTTGACGGTGTGACACACGAAGATAGGCATTTGCAAATATAATTAGATTGTTTAAGGTAACACCAAAACTAGATAGACCACAAAAACTGACAAGTTTTTTTTCAAATAACACCAAGTCACTTTAAAAACAGATGCATGGAAAACTAATTGATGTCGCTTAATTTTCGATTGAAGCCAGTTCATCCATTTCTACTAAATCATCGTTTTAATTTACATGTCAAGAACATGTCAAGGACTTATTACGGAGTGAAAATTATTTGACAATTAACTTACTACGGTTGAAAATATAAATTAGGAGTTGCTTTATGACTAAGTTTAAGTACCGCAATGGCTTGCATCTGGGTTTTTTTGTGTGGTTTCCTATTGTACCATATGACAAATTAAAACATGCGCTCTCTGCATTTAGGTTTATGACCCCTTCTGTATCGATGTGTTTTACGAAATTTGCAAAGAGCAATAGTATCAAAACAGAAAGATAATGAATAATACAGATGTACCATTTTGAACATATACCAAAGGAAAACATCGTTCAAAGCAATAATATTTCTTGTTTTATTGCATTTAATAGAAAACGAGGATTGTAAGGCAAATAAAGCCAGGATTTTTGCAGTAAAGCCACAGACTTTAGTACAGAGATTTTTGTTATAAAATTTTAAACATAGATTACTCACTTGTTTTCCCATGATGTGCTAGTGTTTATTGTTTACCAAAAGTCTTAAACAACCTTTACATTCTAATAAACCCTAGACGGTGTACTTGAATTGGTTAATATTTATATTTGTTTTAACCAACATCTTAATTTATAAACTTCTTTTAAGGAAATCATTGCTAGCACTGCATGCAATAATACTCTATCTATCAAGAAACGAATTGTCACATATAAGAGTACAATTGGAAAAACAGTTGATTTTCTATAAAATTTACATATGTTTAGCATTGAAACAACAGAAGGGTACATTATCCTTAAAAATATTCTTAGAAGAGTATATTAAATTGTTTTTGCTTATTACTCACTTATTATATACTTGTTAAGATCTTACATTTATGCATTAATTCTTTTTTTTTTTTTGCATTACTATAAATTGATATCGGTTATGAAGTTTCTTTTTCAATTTTAATTTGAACACAACATAATCCACATAGTGTTTGCACGTAGGTTAAGATATATGTGGATTTACGTTGAAGGTAAATAGTTACAGCCATTGGTATGTATATCTCTGAGTCTGCGCAAAGAATAGATATATCGAGAATTTTATCACGGTTATGTTTAAAAAGAAAAATAAGCACGTAATATTATAACATATGAGAAAATTGAAATGTTCCATTCACGTGGTAACACCAATATATTGTTAAAAGATAAGAAAGCATTACTTTAACTTTATATTATATAATCATGGTTACCAATACGACATTTAATATCATGGTAAAACTAGTGTTTTTATCTTCGTCATTTGAAATCTGGTGGATAGTTGTATCATACCATATCTTCATAACTTTATATTGCAGAGCTTTTGACAACAACCAGATAACTATTTTAAAAAAGAATTACTTTAGTAATTACACAGTTTTGCGTGTTTTGTGAGTATTTATATATTTTTGTAAGTGTTCTGTTACTATTAGCAAACAGTTTATCTAACAATGTTGGATTTCATATTCCTTTCGAAAACTATCAAAATAACACAGAGACAACAAAATGGACATAATGTATTAGCAAACCAAGTCAATTAAATAGAGCTTTGCATAAGGGAGATATATTCCTTAATTTAAAACGACCAAAATCTTAAAACAGCAAATATAGATAAAACATTATGTCTTCTTCCTTGCCAGTTCCAACTTTCTAGTACCAGCTAAAAGAATTCAAAGATCTTATATGTCCACTGTTAATTATCCTTATGATATCATCAGTAATTCTTATGTTTCCAATAATGACTAGTCTCATGATACTGACTACGACCTTAGGAAAATGTTCATGTTGTTAATGCATCAGATTTTGTGCCACTAATTACAAATTCAGCATCATAACTATATTAATCAATTCGTAAGATTCAGTAATTTCATTCTTTCTTAACAAAGATCGCTCAGCAAGAACCAAATAACAACAATAGAAATGGATGCTTTGCCTTCTACTGGAAGTCTTGAAATTTTGTAAGTCAAAATATTTAAAGATAAGTAATGTTTAATGTTCAATTGAAATTGTGAATTCACGTTTTGTACATTGTTTACTGTGACGAGGAATGAATATGTAATGGCTAAGCTTGTATTGGATCAATTGAATGATTGCATTTTAGGTGTTAAACGCCACTTGTGTTATTTTTTGCTATTTTGTGGTAGTCCTATACTTTAATTGAAGGAAGCCGGATTGTCCGGAGAGAATCATCGATCTTCGTCACGTCAGGAAAACTGATTTTCCTAGTCAATAACGTTTAGAATCGAACGCACCTACCACGTGCGGGATGCAAACCCAAAACTTCAGGTTGACAGGAGAGTATTACAGTATATGAAAAACTTAGACATTTCGGCTACCGAGGTCTCTCGATCAATAGAACAAAAAAATATCGACAGATCCTTATTTGTTTTTAAACTGTTTTATTTTTAACTTTTAAGTACTGGTAATTTTTCATTTCTTGTTAATATCCTCAGCATTCGGCTATTAAAGTATGATACTATTGCAATACCATTTGTATATTTTTTTATGCATTTCTGTAAAGAATATTGCCGATTTTTTTGCTTACTCAAGGTTTCCCAGAGCAAGCGAGCGATTGTGATATTTGTTATAAAGAATTAACCATATGATATAAACCCTAATTTTGCAGAGATATTGGGAACAATTATCTTGATTGCAATACTAGTTGCTATCTCAAGGATTGGAACAAAGTGTGGGAAAATGTGTCCATTGTGGCTGACAATTACCTTCAGTGTTTATGTAATGCATATAGAATTATTTATATATATTAGTATATCAATACTACGTTATATCACATGACGGTTACATAAATTGTACCTTTACCGATAATTTATTATCTAATTCTATACAGTTCGACTGATACAAGATTCCGATTGCGGGTGATATATGCACTACAGGAGACGTGTTCCCTGTCAACGCACACTATCGCTGAATTTGGAATTCAAGCGATTTTCCTCAATATATCGTAAAAGGATGTGTATAAAAACAATGGTTCTGGCCGTTCGCAAAAAAAAAAATATACATGTGGCAAAGAATGCGAGTAAAATAGGATCTATGTTCTCATAACATTACATGTAATGTTTGTAAATATCATGCATGCCGCATGCTACTAGAATTTTATTATTTATCTGTCATGATTTTATAAGAATTTATCATGCATTTATAAAGGTAATAACATATTAAGTTTCTATTCCATTTTCATGGAAGCGTAAATCCAGATATAACTTCGGTCATATTTCCCTCTACATCAACAGTAACTAATTTAGTTCGTATTGTTGGTCAAGACTGATCAATTAATTAGACATAACACGCTATATATGTATTGTCTCCGAGACGCGCTTTCCATTTACAAGAAACGCGCAAACCTATTAGTCGCCAAAAATACTCCTCTTAGGTACTTATAACATTTATGGCTATAAAAAAATACATGACATTTCATCAAGACGTTCCTCATCCACTACATGTATTACTTTTCTACATGTACAAGAGTATCGTAGAAAGATACAAACAAATATCAGCAATCATATTTTCACCTACATGTACATTATGTACCTTTCTGTACTGCTGCTACTAGACTGTCAGTACATCCAGTTTGCGTATGATTATAAGGAAGTATATGTCTGAAACATGTCACGTTGAAAATTACTTATGCAATGTTCAGTTCCTTATATAAATATTGGATTGTCTTTTAGGCACAGTGGTCAATGACGAAATTCCCACAACAATGCCAACAGCTACAATTACAGGTAATCTACATATGTGTATTACCCAATACAATTTCATTGCAGTATTAAGTTTCTTACTCGATTGTCTCCGAGATGTTCTTTGTGATTTACAAGAAACGCTCAAACCTATGATGTTTTTTTAAAGCGCAAGAGTCGCTAAAATAATCCAAACGATTAAAAAAACTAACGTTTTGGGTATCTATAACATTGATGATTATTAACATATACAGGTTATTTCATAATGTAGTTCCTCGTCTGATACGTATATGCTACTTTTCTACATGTACAAGGGTAGCGTAGAAACATTCAAACAAATATCAACAATCATATTTTCACCAACATGTACATTATGTACCTTTCTGTACTGCTGCTATTAGACTGTCAGTACGTCAAATTTGTGTATGATAATAAGGAAGTATTTGTCTGAAACATGTCACGTTGAGAATAACTTATGCAATGCTCAGTTCCTTATATAAATATTGGATTGTCTTTTAGGCACAGTGGTCAATGACGAAATTCCCACAACAATGCCAACAGCTAAAATTACAGGTAATCTACATATGTGTATTACTCAATACAATGTCATTGCAGTATTTAGTTTCTTACTCGATTGTCTTCGAGACGTTCTTTGTGATTTACAAGAAACGCTCAAACCTATGATATTTTTTTAAAGCGCAAGATTCGCTAAAATAATCCAAACGATTAAAAAAACTAACGTGTTGGGTATCTACAACATTTATGACTATTAACATATATATGTTATTTCATAATGTAGTTCCTCGTCTGATACGTATATGCAACTTGTCTACATGCACAAGGGTAGCGTAGAAACATACAAACAAATATCAGCAATCATATTTTCACCTACATGTACATTATGTACCTTTCTGTACTGCTGCTATTAGACTGTCAGAACTTTAAATTTGTGTATGATTATAAGGAAGTATTTGTCTGAAACATGTCACGTTGAGAATAACTTATGCAATGCATAGTTCCTTATATAAATATTGGATTGTCTTTTAGGCACAGTGGTCAATGACGAAATTCCCACAACAATGCCAACAGCTACAATTACAGGTAATCTACATATGTGTATTACTCAATACAATGTCATTGCAGTATTAAGTTTCTTACTTGATTGTCTCCGAGACGTTCTTTGTGATTTACAAGAAACGCTCAAACCTATGATGTTTTTTTTTAAGCATAAGAGTCGCTAAAATACTCCAAACGATTAAAAAAACTAACGTTTTGGGTATCTATATCATTTATGATTATTAACATATACATGTTATTTCATAATTTAGTTCCTCTTCTAATACGTGTATGCTACTTTTCTACATGTACAAGGGTAGCGTAGAAACATACAAACAAATATCAGCAATCATATTGTCACCTACATGTACATTATGTACCTTTCTGTACTGCTGCTATTAGACTGTCAGTACGTCCAATTTACGTATGATTATAAGGAAGTATCTGTCTGAAACATGTCACGTTGAGAATAACTTATGCAATGCTCAGTTCCTTATATAAATATTGGATTGTTTTTTAGGCACAGTGGTCAATGACGAAATTCCCACAACAATGCCAACAGCTACAATTACAGGTAATCTACATATGTGTATTACTCAATACTATTTCATTGCAGTATTAAATTTCTTACTCGATTGTCTCCGAGATGTTCTTTGTGATTTACAAGAAACGCTCAAACCTATGATGTTTTTTTTAAGCACTTAAGTCGCTAAAATACTCCAAACGATTAAAAAAACTAACGTGTTGGGTATCTATAACATTTATGACTATTAACATATACATGTTATTTCATAATGTAGTTCCTCGTCTAATACGTGTTTGCTACTTTTCTACATGTGCAAGGGTGGCGTAGAAACATACAAACAAATATCAGCAATCATATTTTCACCTACATGTACATTATGTACCTTTCTGTACTGCTGCTATTAGACTGTCAGTACGTCTAATTTGCGTATGAATATAAGGAAGTATTTGTCTGAAACATGTCACGTTGAGATTAACTTATGCATTGCTCAGTTCCTTATATAAATATTGGATTGTCTTTTAGGCACAGTGGTCAATGACGAAATTCCCACAACAATGCCAAGAGCTACAATTACAGGTAATCTACATATGTGTATTACTCAATACTATTTCATTGCAGTATTAAGTTTCTTACTCGATTGTCTCCGAGATGTTCTTTGTGATTTACAAGAAACGCTCAAACCTATGATGTTTTTTTTAAGCACTATAGTCGCTAAAATACTCCAAACGATTAAAAAAACTAACGTTTTGGGTATCTATAACATTTATGACTATAAACATATACATGTTATTTAATAATTTAGTTCCTAGTCTAATACGTGTATGCTACTTTTCTACATGTACAAGGGTTGCGTAGAAACATACAAACAAATATCAGCAATCATATTTTCACCTACATGTACATTATGTACCTTTCTGTACTGCTGCTATTAGACTGTCAGTACGTCCAATTTGCGTATAATTATAAAGAAGTATCTGTCTGAAACATGTCACGTTGAGAATAGCTTATGCAATGCTCAGTTCCTTATATAAATATTGGATTGTCTTTTAGGCACAGTGGTCAATAACGACATTCCCACAACAATGCCAACAGCTACGATTACAGGTAATCTACATATGTGTATAACTCAATACAATTTCATTGCAGTATTAAGTTTCTGACTCGATTGTCTCCGAGACGTTCTTTGTGATTTACAAGAAACGCTCAAACCTATGATGTTTTTTTTAAGCACTAAAGTCGCTAAAATACTCCAAACGATTACAAAAACTAACTTTTTGGGTATCTATAACATTTATGACTATAAACATATACATGTTATTTCATAATTTATTTCCTCGTCTAATACGTGTATGCTACTTTTCTACATGTACAAGGGTAGCGTAGAAACATACAAACAAATATCAGCAATCATATTTTGACTGAAAAAATTTCACTTTGTGATCCGTTCCTTATGGTGACACAAAACACCTTGACTTAAATTAGTTTGGCTCGTTTAATGTTCAGAAAGTTTTGACAAAATATCCACCTTGACCCTTTGACAGAAATATAAAAATTTCAAAAAACTTAAACCACACACTTTTTGGGAAAACAATCATTGGATATATACATGATATAGCAGTTTGACAAACATTAATTTTGATCACTGAGAAGTTTAATATTTCCTTACCAATAGAAAGTGATTAAAAAGTTCGGTTGATTTTTGCAGAGTTATCTCCATGGAGTGTTATGGTCCACCTTATATAAACATTGGATTGTATTTCAGGCACATTGTTCAATAACAAAATTCCCGAAATAATGCCAAGAGCTACAATTACAGGTAATCTATATATGTATGTAACTCCATAACATTTTCTTGCAGTATTAATTTTCTTATTTGCTATGTTCCTATTCCACAGGGATACATAATAAAATATAGAAGCAATAAGGAATAGTGGAAACTTTTGAACATTAATTTTGATCTTCATGAACCAGTCCATACCCCTTTTTGTGGACTATCTGTTCTTGGCAATACCATCTGCTATGATTCCAAAATGGCGATTTTTAGTTGAGTTTTTATAGCATATTTATCTGATCATTTTTAAGGTACAACACAATGTAAGGTGAAGAAACTACAACTTCAACCTTATCTTGCATTAATTTACAATATATTAATTCTTTAGTTTTACGGTATGATTTATCCTACTTTTGCAGTATAAAGTTTTTACAAATGTCCATTTTAATTGAAAGACATTTTGAAGCTTGCATGAGTTCATTATATTCCCTCGGTTTTTTGTGTATTTCGTTTATTTTGATATTCCTAGTCGATTTACGTTAACTGCTGTCGCTTACATTGTTAAAATAACCACTGTCAAATGATTTGTCCTCCAGGAGAATAAATTTCGTAAAAAAATCTAACCTTATTCTTTTCTTATGCATAATATTTCATGATGTCTTAAAAGATAGCAGTTCATTCAAAGAAGCATTCTAATTTTCGTTTGTCAAATTGTCTTTGATTCATACATGTAATTACATACGTTTTGATAACGTAAGACACTGCTTCTTTTTTCTTTCAGGCATTCAAATAACAATGGTTATAATTTGCTGCTTATCTGGATTATTTGCTATTAATGCAACTATATGTTGCATTAAGAAAAAAATTGGCAATGGAAGGGTGACAGCTCAGGGAAATGAAAACACTGAGGTAAAAATCTGTCATAAAAATGATACAAAATATGTTCCATTTAAAAACTAATTACGTCAACATGGTTAAAGTGGAAACATTTTGGATGATATTGCCACCCAACAAAACATGTTTACTGAAGGTTACATTCCTGTAAATATAGACAATACACTTTCCAATAGGAACTCCTTTGACAGCTTAAACTGTGCCACTTTTTCAATAAAGTATCGTAATAAAATATATCCTGGAATGGAAAGTTTATATGCACTACATGTTTTTTCAAGGGTCAAAACGTAGGGTTGTGCGGCATATTTTTAACATGTATATGCCTCAAACTTCTAAGAGTTTAAACGTATACTAACATTTTATAGTACCCCGCCCTTCACTTTGTGTCTTCCTCAGAATTAAATTTGACCGCAATCCATGTGTAATTATAGTGGTAACATTCTCAAGTTGTGTATCTCCGAGATGAAGCATGAAGAGCATATCGTGCAACCAGTTGGTAAAGAAAACAAAATATTTATGAATATTAAAGTTGAAATATGCATGACGAAAATACTATATCATACCAAAATTACCAAATTATCAGACAATTCAGTTTGTTATTGATATGTACAGGTAAATTAAAACTTTTAGACAGTCTGAAAATTACTGAACCGATTATTACTAAGTGCAAGCGAATTGTCGTATAAGTACTGAAACTACGCAGTGGATAATTTGTAGTTCGGACTATTCGTGACTGTTAGATCAAAATGACTATTTGAAACAAAATTGCATTTATTATTATTCATTTTTGTTTACCATCTTCAGCAAATTCGAAATAGAATAACTGCAAAATTATCAAATAGGCACATAAACAGTTGGCGAGGACAACGTGTTGTGTAATTAGTCAATCGATCTGGTGTATCGTTTCAAAAGAAAGTTACTACTTAAATTATTTAAGTCAACATGTGTTGATACGTTTATTCAATGCTATTCCTTCTAGTTTTAAGCTGCTAAGAATTATATATTTTTAATTGTAAGTTTTGAAAACGAGCACGAGCGTATTCGTATTTTTGTTAATTTGATCAAACGGTCATGATCATGAACATTTTTAAAAGGAAGACAAACGACAATATTTTGAATATGCTCGGCTACTGTGTATATTGGAAAATGCATTTCATAGCCAAATACAGTCTCTTATAGATGTTTTTTTTTTATATAAGAAATTCACACCTTACATTGAGTGGGATATGCAAATCCTAAACAATGAAACACAATACAAATTCCCACAAAGGTATTATCATATTTGCACAAAACGGTTTATATTATTGTGTATTCTATTTATTAAAAAAAAAAGCAACCATTTTATACATTTCTGCTTAAGGTTGAGATGGAAAATGGAAGAACACATGTAGATAAAAACATTTTCGAGTTGGAAAATGCAGATAGTGGATTTGTTTTCATGAACATTCCTCCTTTGAACCACCAAGTATTTACACAGAGACTGGCTACTCATTTCTAGCTCCTCATACATTTTAGTTTACATTTTGTAACATTTGTAAACTACGATCGCCTGTATTTAATTTATTTCGTATTTAGATATATCTCAAAACTTTGTTTGATGCTTTATGTGTATTTTGTCTTACTTGAACATGATTTTGTTGACACTATTTATAGTATATTGATATCTGTAACATATATGCTTCGGTTGTTCTTTTCTATATGTGATTAAAATATTTACAGCTGCTTCATTTAAAGTATGAATTCACAAAAAGAGTATTAAATGAATAGAATGACTTTGCAGCGGCGACTCTGTCGTTAAGATTCGTTAAACTTTTCAAGTAGACATCTTACTCTTACAAGCGATGTTCAATTAAAGTTCATCATTCTGTAATATTAGTCACTCTATGGAGAAAAAAAATAATCGTTTGCCTCCTTTTTTTACTTGGACAAAAGGCATTAGGAATATTTTTACCGGTAAAACAGAGTATTTTGATGTCAGGATTTTCTAAAGACATGTTTATGTAGTAATTGGTAGTCTTTTTCCATGTGCTATACTAGTTGCCTTTAGTTATACCACAAGTCTTTTGCCAAAAGAGCTCCTCGTTAATGTAGTTTACACTGCAAGGTATGACGGAAGATCAGCATCACGAAGGACAAAATCGAAATTCCCACAACAATGCCAAGAGCTACAATTACAGGTAATCTACATATGTGTATTACTCAATACTATTTCATTGCAGTATTAAGTTTCTTACTCGATTGTCTCCGAGATGTTCTTTGTGATTTACAAGAAACGCTCAAACCTATGATGTTTTTTTTAAGCACTATAGTCGCTAAAATACTCCAAACGATTAAAAAAACTAACGTTTTGGGTATCTATAACATTTATGACTATAAACATATACATGTTATTTAATAATTTAGTTCCTAGTCTAATACGTGTATGCTACTTTTCTACATGTACAAGGGTTGCGTAGAAACATACAAACAAATATCAGCAATCATATTTTCACCTACATGTACATTATGTACCTTTCTGTACTGCTGCTATTAGACTGTCAGTACGTCCAATTTGCGTATAATTATAAAGAAGTATCTGTCTGAAACATGTCACGTTGAGAATAGCTTATGCAATGCTCAGTTCCTTATATAAATATTGGATTGTCTTTTAGGCACAGTGGTCAATAACGACATTCCCACAACAATGCCAACAGCTACGATTACAGGTAATCTACATATGTGTATAACTCAATACAATTTCATTGCAGTATTAAGTTTCTGACTCGATTGTCTCCGAGACGTTCTTTGTGATTTACAAGAAACGCTCAAACCTATGATGTTTTTTTTAAGCACTAAAGTCGCTAAAATACTCCAAACGATTACAAAAACTAACTTTTTGGGTATCTATAACATTTATGACTATAAACATATAC